TGAGGTGAGATATCTATCTCTTTGCATCTTGTATGTCTTTCTGATGATTGTACATACTACCCTAGCGCTTATACGCGACTAGGTGATTATCAATCTTATTAGTTCACGTACTTGGAACTGAGCGCTTATACGCGACTAGTTCATAATTTCAATAGGTTATTTGCCCAGTCAACTCTGAACCTAGTGAACTCCGGACCCTATCCTTCCTTCCCCACTCCCCATGTCCCAAACCAGCTCAAACCCAGCTGCTACTGCAGCCGCTACCACCACTTCCTCATCAATCGACAACCCTAGATTTCCTATCGTGGCCTTAGATGCCGAGGGTAAGAATTATCGAATATGGGCATCGAGAATGGAATCCGTCCTCAAAGTCAGGCGTATGTGGAACGTAGTCAAAGCTGTGTCGGATGGCGGAGAACCTACACCGTCAACGACGGATCAGAATTATACGGAATGGATGGAAAAGGACGAACGCGCCTATGCCTACATCAAATGTCACATCAACGACGAGTGTATGACTTTGATCGATAATGCATCTCACGCGTGAGAGGCCTGGAAGATACTTCTGGACCGTTATATCGGTACAGGCCCCAACCAGGCAAACATGCTACATACCTCTCTCTATCAATTCCACATGGAAGATACCAGACCGCTGGAACCTCAGATCAATGAGATACGACGAGTGCGTGACCAATTGGCAGCTATGGGCCGCAAAGTCAACGACCAAGACTTTGTCGCTGCCCTCTCCTCAGCCCTCCCCGGTACTTACCACAATCTCAAAACCTTCGCCATCGTCGAGATGAAACACTCCAGACACCTAGATTCCCTAACCTTCATCGACCACATACTTGAAGAGGAACGCATGAGACGAAACGATCCCACTATCAGCGCAATGTTCGCCAACTTCGCGAAGTCCAACCGCCGGGAAAAGAAAAAAGGCGAGTCAAACTCTAACAATGCGAAGTCGACAGTCCGCTGTACAAATCCCAAGTGTGGCAAGGAAGGCCACACTTTCGAGCGATGTTGGGCGGAAGGTGGCGGGTCTGAGGGTAAAAGACCGAAAAGGCCGAAGGGGAAGCGTGGTAAATCTTTGGGAACGCCGAAGGAATCAGCTAAAGTGGCGACCTCTTCGGAAGCCAATGATCAAGTCTTAATTGCTGGTGTATCAGAGACGCTAAGCGCGGCACTCACGGAAGCTCGGCAAGGACGATCCAAGTGGATCGTTGATTCTGGAGCTACCGCTCACTTATGTGGTAACCGCGAATGGTTCACCACTTATCGTAGTCTGAACCCCCCTCGGAGGATCGTTCTGGGAAATAAGAAGGTGATTTTAGCACCGGGTATTGGACAAGTAAGAGTTACGTTCAACTCTGGACACTCACCACAAAATGCGACAATACGCAACGTCCTTTATTGCCCCGAAATAGCCCACAACCTCCTATCCGTCATCCAACTCAATTCTTCTGGCGCGTATGCAACTTTCCAACATGGAAATTGTCAAATCTTCAACTCAGCAGATCAACTAATTGCTGTTGCACGCACCGAGAATGGTCTTTATAGACTACCCGTCACCGTCGCTGCCCTTGAAAAGGCTTACATAACTACCTCCCACTCCGACGACGCTGCTAACGTGGCACGCACCACTACTGCGAGTGCTTCTATCGATGTATGGCACAAACGACTAGGCCACATCGCGAAAGACTCTATTTTTAAAATGATGCGTAGTGGAATGGTTAGAGGCATGGACGTGATCGGACACAGAAACAATGACGGAGCGGCTTACTGTCCAGAATGTGAGGCCTCATCCCATCACCGTAACCCCATCCCTTCCAAAACCCATACTCGCTCAGACGAAATCCTCGGTCGAGTCTTCTCCGATGTCTGCGAAACGCAAACAGTGACGCGTGAAGGGTTTAAATACTTCATCACTTTCGTCGATGATCACAGCTGATATCTTACCGTCTATCCGATGAAGAACAAGTCTGACGCACTCGAGAAGTTCAGGGAGTTTCTTGCAGAGGCGGAAAGGCAGACAGGCCACAAGTTGAAGGTTCTTCGAACGGATGGTGGCGGCGAGTATTTTTCTACTGAATTCACCGAATATCTAAAGAGTATCGGCATCGTCCATGAGAAGACGAATCCACGCACACCACAGGAAAATGGGGTAGCCGAAAGGGTCAACAGGACCCTGGTGACAATGAGTATCGCCATGTTGAAGAGCGTTGAGTCGAAACTCGGCCGCTCTGCTTGGCTGTACGCGTTGCGACATGCTGTGCTAATAAAGAACGCCTCCCCCCACTCCGCATTACCTGACGACATCTCTCCCTATGAACGTTACTTTGGTAATAAACCAAACCTTTCAACACTACGTACCTTTGGCTGCAAAGCCACACTCCACATTCATCGTGACCTCCGTCGTAAGCTGGATGACCGCTCCATTCCCGGCATTCACCTTGGATTGGCCCAAGGGAAGAAAGCATTCGTAATTTACGATCCCAAGACTCGGAAACTTCACGAGTCCAGGGATGTTCACTTCTTCGAAGAGTCGGATAAGGAATCAGAGCGCGTGACGATTGAGGTAGAATCACCTGATTCCCCGTCGCATGTGATCGCTCCCGGGAAGAATGATGGAATGGATAAGGTTGAGGGAGATGGAAAGGGAGGAGGGGAAGATCGAGAAGATCAAGAGGGAGAAAGGGGTGAGAATGAGGACGAAGATGGATTAGATGGAGAGAACCCACCTACACCTGTCCCCGAACCCGAAGTTCAACTGCCTGAACCACGTCGATCAACACGTATACGTCGCGCGCCTATCCCAGATGACGACATCCGATATGAGGCTTCATCCTACAACAGAACGCAAAATGCCCCTGAGTTAGTGGGCGTAACTTGGGTGATGTCAGCGACAACAACAATACCGCGCACCTATAAGGAAGCCATGGATCGCCATGATTCGAATTCGTGGCTTGAGGCTTGCACTGAAGAACTTAGTGCGTTGAAGGAGACAGGGACTTACCTTCCCGTACGAAAGAGTCAAGTCGACCCTCATAACGTTGTGGGATCTAAATGGGTATTCGCATTGAAGAAGGGGGCCGATGGGGAAATAGAGCGATACAAAGCTCGCATCGTCGCGAAGGGTTTTAGTCAAATTTACGCAATCGATTATGAAGAGACTTTCGCACCCGTCGTTAAGTGGGCCTCCATACGGATTCTCCTCGCATTAGGTGCCCGTCTAGATCTGGAGATCCACCAGATGGACGTGAAGACCGCATTCCTAAACGGCGAACTCGAACACGACATTTTTATGCAACCCCCTCCTGGATCTATCGATTATGGGCGGAAGGACATAGTGTGGAAGTTGCAGAAAAGTTTGTATGGTCTCAAACAAGCGTCGCGAGCATGGTACACGAAAGCCAAAGAAGAGTTGAATAAACTCGGCTTTACCCGATCGAACTCAGATCACGCTGTCTTCATTTTTACTTATCAGGCAACCTTCTGTATCATCGCGCTCTACATCGATGACTTGATGATCCTCTCCAACCATCTCCCCCTCCTTCGGAAGAAGAAGAAGCAATTAATGTCCACGTTCAAGATGAAGGACTTGGGGGAGATTCACTGGTTTCTTGGACTGGAGATCACACGCGATCGCCAACGGCGACTACTCTTCGTCTCTCAATCACGCTATATCACTGATGTCGTTGATCGCTTTGGATTCAATGGCTCTCGTAACGTCTCGACACCCATGTCCTCTAACGTAAAACTTGCTCGCCATGAAGAACCTGACCCCGACATCAACACCCGTGAATATCAATCCCGCATTGGATCCATCATGTACGCTATGCTCGGGACTCGCCCCGACATCAGTTTTGCCATTACCACACTAAGTCAGTACTCTTCTAATCCAGGAGAGGAACACTGGACTGCCGTCAACCGACTACTTCGCTACCTCAATGCGTCAAAACATCTCAAGTTAGTCTATGACGGTAATTCCACTAACGACGACAAAACCGGGTACTCAGATTCTGATTGGGCTGGCGACTCAAGGGACTATCGGTCCATCTCCGGTTTCGTTTTTATTATGGCAGGAGCTGCCGTCAGCTGGAGTTCAAAGAAGCAAGCTTCCATTGCTCTCTCTAGCACAGAAGGCGAGTACATGGCTACAACGCACGCGGCTAAAGAAGCTCTTTGGATACAACAGTTTCTCCGTGACATTAACCTACCCCTCGCCGAACCAACAACTCTCTTAGTCGACAACCAAGGCGCTATCGCGCTTGCGACGAATCCCACCTTCCATGCCCGAACCAAACATATCAGTGTACGACAACACTTCATCCGCGAACGCGTCGAAAATCGCGAAATCAATCTTGAATATGTCCCAACTGACGACCAAGTTGCCGACGTACTAACGAAAGCCCTATCTTACGTCAAGCATTCAAAGTTCCGAATCGCTATGGGATTGCATGAGTAGGTCCACATCAAGTGGGCGTGTTGAAATTCTTGTTTCTTGGTACGCTGTGGACCGACCATTGAATACAACGGACTATATTTCTTGCGCACGGACATTTCCTTGTAGGATTGTCCGATGCTACCGTTTATGGCGACCATGTTGATGGACGCAGTCGAGGATGGCTTAAAAGCCGCCTCGCGCAATTTTTCCCTCTTCTCTCCTCAGTTCACGTACTTGGAACTGAGGTGAGATATCTATCTCTTTGCGTCTTGTATGTCTTTCTGATGATTGTACATACTACCCTAGCGCTTATACGCGACTAGGTGATTATCAATCTTATTAGTTCACGTACTTGGAACTGAGCGCTTATACGCGACTAGTTCATAATTTCAATAGTATGGGTGGGACGAGGGGGATAAAGTGCAGAATTTACGACCCATGTTGCGTGGCCTGGTCTTCCCACGGCCCGCCAGCCGAATAATGAGTTAATACTGTATTGAAAATGATGCCGTGGCCGATCTTCGACTCGTGATCAATATTCAGGATTTGAAATTGAGCCTATCAGCAGGCAGGTGATAATCAGTTGTCCTCGTACTTTGCCTTCAAAGTGCGACCATTGAACAGCTTGTGGCTAAGCGTTGGGATCGTCCATCATCCCTTGGCGCTCGCTTGGCAGGGCAAGCAGGACCGCGGACGATCCCGCGGACGATTCAGGGTCACAGACCACGGGATCTGTTTGGGCTTATAGCTTATAGCTAACGTGTTCATTTACACCAAGGATATTTCTTCTTGTTTCTCTGTCTCCGCTTTTGTCCATTCCCCGTGCTTGTTTGCTCTCCGCCGCCTACCTAGCGGGAGTGACGGTTTGATTACTGAAGTCGGCAAAATTCATTATGGAATCTGAATCTGAATCTGAGTCTGCGGCTCAACAGCTCCCTCCTCCCGCTGACGACGCTGTTGGCAATCCATCTACGGCCAGTGCCCACCTCCAAGGGGCTCACTCTCATTCTCACTCTCAAACTCAAACTCAAACTCACATTCACACTCAAGCGTCCCCCCACTCTGCTCCCTCTCACACCCACCCTCACGCACTACCACCCCCATCAACTTCAACAATCCAAATGATGTTGACAGAAGATTATACACGAATATACCCTGTTCGATCTTTATTGTCGGACGTCCAACCTGATCCCGAGGGTTCAACCGGTCCTGCTAGCATTATCAATATTGGAAATATAGGCGCAGGTGTAGGTGGCACTGGAGGGTCCATCCCCGGTGCTGCTGGGACTGGCGTCCCTCCTTCTATTTCCACTTCTGGCTTCAGTACAGGTACTTCTTCGACTCTGGGATCTACCTCAAGGAACGCAGCCGGGACTACCATCCCTGCCGACAGCGTTCCTCCCATCACAACCCCAAATACAAGTTCATCACCCTCTCCGCCCATCTTTCCACCAACGAGCCCCACAGCAATGTCAGCGGCGGGAGGAGGAATAGGAGGTTTCCATGTCCTAAGTCACGTCCTCGAAGCCGATAAGAATGCACAACAGAGACAACGTCTGCGGAGGTCCAATTCTATTTCGTTACAGATCCAACTACCTCCGTCTTTGTCGTTTGATTCGCTGCCCGCTACCGCTGCTGCTAGGCAGGTCAGGGAAACCGGAACCGGTTGCGGTTTTGGGGACTCCGCCAGCACTGCTCCAACGACTCGGACGAGGTCGGAGATACTTCTTCCAAGTCAGAAACTTACTGAGATTGATGATACGAATGCTACTGCTCGTGCTGATACCGAAGTTCTGAACGAGACCGTGTCTCTTACCTCCCCTGCTGATTTATTAACTTTCCACACTGGTGATGTCTCTATATTAAGGAACTCGGACAGTTTCGCCATGCCGGCAGTGGGTGGCACTCATACCGAGACCAGTGGTGTTTCCACGTCTCAAAGTCTGGAAATGCCATTGAAAGCAGATCTAGCCCCTTCGTTGCACTCTCTGCCCAAATTCAAAGAACCCATCCTTACTTCCACTTCTGTGGCCCCCTCAACGGCACAAAAGGATTCTGACGATACTCCGCCAACAACAGTGACGCAGCAGACATCAAGTCTTGCAGCAGGAGGTTACGTCCATCTAGGTCCTGTTCCTACTTCCATATCCCCCATCCCTCATTCCATGCAGAACAAAGGCCACTTGGCGGATCAGTTGGAAGGATGTTCTACTGGATTGAGTTCTGGAGGCCTTGGGAATAGACTCATCGCGAAGTATAGAGAGGATGGTGATGACCCTACTGTGGCTGGTTATCATCAAAGAACGACGGCAACGGATGACGGAGACATCGGTCCTGCCGTCGATCCAGATGCGCCTTCTGGCATGGGAAGCGGATTTGGTGGTGGTGACAGAAGTGGCAATGAAAATGGGAGAAATGAGACGCTTGACGTACTGAACGAAGAGGAGAATAGTATGAGTGGAAGTGAGTGTGTATCGGGGTCGGATGGGGATGAAGGTGAGGGGGAGGGGGGAGAAACAGAGGTTTATTTCAGGACGACGAGGTTTAAGCATGTTGAGACTTCTCAGGGTTCGTGTGTTCAGTCTGGCCATATGGTTTTGTGTTGATGGTGAGGTGGTTGTGACGTACCAGGTCATTATCTGTTGTTGGGTCGGGAAGGTCAATTGGAACGGTGCGAAGATGAGGTGTGTCGAACGATTGACTTGACGGCATTGCTATCGCTCTTACATTTCTGCTTTCCATCGTTGACCTCTCCTTACTCTCAACCGGGGCTTGTTAGCCTATTCGGACTCCTGGTGCTGTTCAGGGATTTGGTGTATTGATTGCCTTGGAGGAGGATGAAGAGACCGGGAACCTTGTTGTTCGACAAGTATCAGAGGTGAGTCAGAACGGTGGTCAATAAAGCAGGCCTCCATCTAATTTCGCGTCCCTCTTATCCTTGTATCCTCAGAATTGCACCGAATTGCTCGGATTGACACCCCATTACCTCTTCAGTCTTGAATCTTTCACAGAAACTCTCCCTGACCATCAAGCAGACATTCTCTGGGATAATATCCAATACCTAGATGAAGATCCTGATAGTCTTAATGAAGATGGACCTCAAATTTTCTTACTTTCAGGTTACGGACAACCTGGGAGTGTGATTATTGAATCGGGGGAAAGCGGAAATGAGTCTGATGCGGGTGTTGGCGGCGCGTCGGTCGCGGGGAGTTTTCCGTCTGGATCCGAGACTGCCACTGGGACTACGAGCTCTGGCGGGGTTTCAGAGGAACGTCGACATTGGACTTGCTGGTGTGCTGCTCATCGAGCTAAGGCTGGTCCTGGAACGACTCAAGGTGGAAATGTCAGCGGGAATTCCGCCAAGGGACGACAGTACCTATCCGGGGAATTGCCAGTGTCATCATCCACCAATCACCATATCATTTTGGAATTCGAACTTGAGAGGGATATCTATAACCCCCTGTATCCCCCTGCTGATCTTCCTATCGCTGCTCGTGGGCCCCTCTCGCCTCCCACTACGAGCAGAAGTGACGGCATAAGCAGTAGCGCTTCGATTTCCGGAAAAGACTCTGTTGGATCAGATCGAACAAGCACGAAGGTCGAGAGCGGTACGCCCCCTCCGCAGCATTATACGCCACCGACGCATCGTGGTTTGGAAGGGGATGAAGATTGGATGCCTTCGGCTGAAGCTATTTATTCTAGTACGACGAATAGGGCTAAGCCGATCAAGGCTCTGGAGAGGATGAGATGGATGGAAAGAACGGCTCACCAGAGGCTATTGCAGCAGGTTGAGAGAGGAAGTGGTGGTAATCGACAAGGATACGGGAGTCAACAGAGATCTAGACGTGGAGGGAGAGGTATAAATACGATTCCAAGAAGTGGAGGTACTGGGACCCTTGATGTCTTTGCGGTCTTGGCTCAAGTGAACGAACAGCTTTCCGCTGCGCCAGATCTGCAAACTTTTCTGGATGTGGCGGTGGGAGTCATGAAGGATTTGACTCAATTTCACCGAGTGCTGGTTTATCAATTCGATGAGCATCATAATGGATTTGTAAGCAAAATTTTCCGGATATTCCTTTTGGAGTGGAGGTGGTTGCTGATGCTGAAATTGGGTTGGGTGACTGCCAAATTTGTTAATACAGGTCCCTGCTGAGATTGTCGATTGGACTCGGACGCATGATTTGTACAAGGGGCTTCATTTCCCGGCTACGGATATTCCAGCTCAGGCAAGGCAACTATACAAGATTAGTAAGTTGTGACGTCATAAATTGGACTTGTAGATTTTCACTAATTTCCTTTATCGTTGTAGATAAGGTTCGATCGCTCTATGATCGCAGACAGCCTACTGCCCGATTGGTTGGACGTACCCGGGAGGATGTTGATAGGCCTTTGGTACTTGGCTTTTAATACGGGACTTGCTCCTTCATTTGACACTTATGATTCTCGTCGACAGGATCTTACGCATTCGTATCTCAGAGCAATGAGCCCTATTCATCTGAAATGTCAGTAACCCACAGTCCATTCCATCCTGCTGAGCCCTGGGTGCTAATGCCGAAATTAGACCTCGCTAATATGGCTGTACGGGGTTCTATGTCAATTGTAAGTAATATTGTGCAGCCCATAGATCCACCGCGAGGCTAACTTGCTCGAATTTAGTCTATTGTTGCCTTTGGTCAATTATGGGGGTTGATATGCTGTCACTCATATGGAGATTACGGCATGCGAGTGTCGTTCCCTGTGCGACAGATGCTTCGGCTTCTGAGCCACTCGATCTCACGGAACGTCGAGCGTCTAAGTTATGCGCAGCGTTTGCATACTAGAAAATTAGCAAGTTCTTCTGTGCCCTTCTACCAACTATGAATACTCACGGGTACTCCGTGCGTAGATAAGTACCATCCCCACAGATGCCCATCCCACTGGTTACATCGTTAGCAATGCGGAAGATCTACTTGGTTTGTTCGATGCGGATTTTGGTAAGGGCGATAATATTTTAGAAGGCAACATTAACTTTACATCGTTTTCAGGAGTGCTTGTTATCGGAGAAGCGGCGAAAATTTTAGGACCAAATGAACATGGACAGGATATCCTGATGATGGCTGAATACCTACGACTAAAACAATTCAAGTGAGGCTCCATTTTCGCCCCGGCTGCGCGGGGATACCTGACAAGTGTGCTTCCCCAGATTAATGCAAGTCACGCAAGAAGTGACGAAGGATTTCCAAGACTTGAATTTGCCTAATGGATTGAATGTGATTGCCGGATTGCTTTATGTTCCGCTCTCAGCCGGTGGCGGAGATTTCATCGCTTTTCTTCGTAAAGGCCAACTTCGGGACGTCTCGTGGGCCGGACGGCCATCAAAAATGGAAGATGGACAAGCCTCGTTAGAACCTCGTTCCTCATTTAAAGCAAGTGCGTTTGGGCTCCCCATGCGGTCGTGTCATTAATGTGGTGATTAGGCATGGACCGAGAGCATCGCTGGACGGTGTCGTGCCTGGACAGATGAACAGCTTGATACTGCGGGTGTGTTGGCTTTGGTATATGGGAAGGTATGTGGAGTGGATTTTAATTCTTTTTTAAATTTCTTTTTGGCTGTGATGCTGATCGCTGATTGTCAGTTCATCGAAGTGTGGCGGCAGAAGGAATCAGCACTCAAAACCACACAACTCACTAACATCCTACTTTCAAATGCGAGTCATGAAGGTGAGCTCTCTTCCCATCAAGATCTCCCGAGTTCTAAGCATGTGAGCAGTGCGCACGCCCCTGAACCATATCATTAAGTAAGTTTTCGTGCTCACTGCTCAAGTGAGGTATCAGCTTACAGGGCCCCTTCAGCTATCTCGAACTTGCTCTCGAGAGTCAACTGGATAACGAAACACGTAATAATTTGAGCATGTCGCATGCAGCCTCCAAGAACTTACTGTTCACTATTAATGACCTACTCGTAAGTATGTCGTACTATCTAAGATTGTCAAGCTCACTTTAGCTTTTCCATAGGATCTTACTCGCCTTGAAAGCGGTAATGAAATCGCCAACAACGAGCCTTTCGATTTGGCGCAAGCTCTTCAAGACGCCGTGGAGGTCTATCAAACCGAGGCCGTTCGACGTAGCATTGAGTTCACGCTCATTACACTTGATGTCCCGAAGTTGGTCATTGGAGACGCAAGGAAAATTAAAACTGTGGTTGCAAACCTTACTGCCAACGCGGGTAGGTTCCGAAGCAGGTGCCTAGTTTTGACTTGGATCCTGAACAATTTTTCCAGTTAAATACACGGAGAAAGGAAGCATCACTGTGGAATGCCGCACATTCAACGAACCTGCCGGCCTTCGCGATTCGGGGTCAAAAGTCATGGACATTATCGTACGCGACACTGGTGTCGGAATAGGGAGCGCCAAACTCGAGAGTATATTCCGCGAGTTTGAACAGGTTGAACAAGCATCCCCTCAGGCTGAGAATACCTCTCCGGGATTAGGTTCGATCCATGTCAACATTTGCATTGCAGAATTTTCTGATGACATGTTGCAGGACTGGGTTTGGCCGTCGTAGCTCGTATCGTGGAACAACTCGGCGGGCAGCTCAGAGTTGACTCGAAGCTAAACGAGGGCTCTCGTTTCTCCTTTTTGGTCCCGGTATCGGTTCCTACGCCTGAGAGCGGATCTACTGATCGGACGGTCGGACAATCCATCCGGGGCCAACGACGTGGAAACCGAGGGAGCATTGCAAGCGGAAGTGGAGGCAGCGAAATCGACAGTATTGTTGAGGCATTGTCAGCCAGTGTTTTTGATGACGACGCTTCTCGCCAAGCTATGAACTCGGAGCGGGCTCTAGATCCTCGAACGTCAGCTCAATCGGGGAGGTACAAAGAACGCAGGAAGTGGGGTCCGGAAAGGAAGGGTTACTCGGGAGAGGTCGAACCGGAGGGCTCCAATTTCCCGGTTCGAGTGGCGAAAGTAGATTCATTAGGCCTAGATCCGCCTCCGCTGGCCGTTACCAAGGGTCCTTCTACCAGCACTGAGATTTGGCGGCAAACCCTGGGAGAAGCGGAGAAACCGTCGCCTCCACCAGCTGTTGGCCCTCCTCGGTTCATTACTGACGAACCATCACGGTTGCGAGTTCTGGTTGTCGAGGTATTACACTGCAATGCTGATGCTAATCTTTTGATGCTCATGATTTCTCGGCCGCCAGGATGATGCAGTTAACCGGAATGTACTCAACAAGCGTCTTTCCCTGGACGGACACACTGTGGCCGTTAGCGTGAACGGCCAAGAAGCGGTAGACAAAGTTCGTGAAGACCGCGCATTTGATTGCATCCTGATGGTACGAGATGATATGTTTTCCTCACAACAGTAGTGATACTGACCATCGTCGTACAGGACATACAAATGCCTGTGATGGATGGCATCGAAGCGACGATCCAGATTCGAGAGGTTGAGAAGCAGAGTCCTCTTCCATTGGACGAAGTCAGACCATCGCAAGACTTCAATGGTCGCATTCCTATCTTCGTCGTCAGCGCGTCGCTGAAAGAGAGTCAACGACTTCACCTCATGGACTGCGGAGTCGATGGCTGGGTTCTGAAACCGATCAATTACAAGCGGCTCGGTGTCCTCATTTCCGGAGTGACCGATCTCCCCAAGCGTCGTGATTCCGTGTACTTTCAAGGGTGTGATTGGGAGGCTGGGGGATGGTTCAAAGAAGCGCAACTCTCTGTCGGTTCCCAAACATAGGGCCATGCAATGGTCTTTATCACAGACGCACCTATCCTCTCATCTTTGGGTCGACTATCACTCTGTCGTTGATGTTTTCAAGTTTGGAAGGGTCCTACATAATTAACAATTTGATGCCGATTCGGGAGTCTAACCGCGATTGAATAGTAGAACTCTAATAGACTCCGCCATCACTCAGAATTTCCCGCGTGACGCACATAATGATCACTCATGCCGATCAATTCAGTAGCGTGGACGGCAAACTTTTTCTGAGTCAGGGTATCCCAAAGTTTCCTTTTTTCGTCATGTATCAGTCAGTGTAGTACTGTGGTACATGGTCACACAGACCGTAATCAAGCCTAAAAAGCTGCCGATAACTCTCACTCTAACAATTTATCTTGTGACTAGACTGAATTGATCTTCCGAAGGTTATGTGTTATTGGAAAAAAAACAGAAACAAAATTCCGAGATGAAATTCTGCAAATAGAAACGCATTTGATGGCTCGCAAAAATTATTGAGGCCACATCAAAATGAAGCCTGATAGTTGTAGAACAGGTACCCCTAGGTTTTACTACATATCCTAGTAGGTTGTGTTGAGAATGAGAGTTAGGGTGTCGATGTCGAGTGACGATATACGTCGCCTACCTTGCAGGCTAGGTAGCAATCCCGACACCAGAGGACTCCGTTACCCCGACCACACCAACCGTACCCTTACCATGTACTTCCGATCCCCTCATGGACAGTTTTTCCGGGATATCAACGCCGCCGCTGCAGGGTCACAAAATAGAGTGCAACAACAACAACAACAACAACACCAACGGCACAAGGTAGTCGTTCGGGAAGACGAGCACCTTTGCTTGGGCAGCAACCCCAATTATTCATCATGGCACAGGACACAATCGCACAAGTTCCAATAACACAGGAGCACATCCCTGTGCGCTCTCCTTCGGAGTTTGAAACTGAAACACCCCCCGGTATATCTCCCAGTACTGCAAACACTGATCGAAGGAATTCAACGATCGGGGAGCCGCCTGGAGCGTCTGACGCAGAGTCGCGTCGTTGTGGACCGCAACTTCTTCGCAGGCATTTCAAATCATGGAAACCCTTTAATGGAATTCGCAACGATATCACTTCCAGAGCACCATATTACGTTCGAGACTGGATTGACGCATGGAACTACAGGTGTGGCTTCACCTTTGGTGAATTCCCATCTACTGCCAGCTGAGCGCCTTTCAGGGTTATCCCTGCAACAGCGATGATATTTTTTGCAAAGTGAGATCTGGTTTCACCTCGTGAGGACTCCGTTCATGGGGTGCATCTGATCCTTATCTGCAGCATTTTTCCGGGGATAGCATTCTCGTTGGACTTGATAGAGACCACCGCGCAGTATGGTGTTATAGAGGGTGAGGGGTTATCGCCAATTACCGGATGAAACCCAGCTGACTGTTGACACTGTGCCTGTTCCCCATTATGCCCAAGTCCTCATGTCCACATTCATGTCTGCCTTCATATTCTCCGTCTTCGGAGCCCAGCCACTATGCATCGCTGGAGTCACAGGTGTGTTTAACTGCCAAACATTCTTCCCGGTGTGCTGTTCTGAGTGAAAGTCGCATTGGCAGGACCGATCACTGTTTTCAATAAAACAATTCATACAATCATCACTCGTCAGCCTGATTCTCCGAATTACTTGCATTTTGTTGGCTGGGTGTATCTGTGGAGTGCATCATGCACATTTTCTCGCCACGATGAACGGTGTGTTCATATGTGCGTATTCGTGACGCACCACTGAACGAAATCTTTCTTCGACAGCGTGCAATTTTTTGAAATTCGTAACGCTCTTCTCATGCGATACCTTCGGATTCTACGTATCATGGGTTGGTCGCCTGTGAAAGGGATGCGTAAACAGCATGAGTCAAGTGTTGACCGTAATTGCCACAGGTCTACCTTCAATATGGGGTCCAGGTCATTACAAGACAATTCATTATTGCAAGTCCTACATCAACACAGGAAGGACCATACGCATCAATTGTCCTGGCCTTGTTAACGCTGGTTACTGCGCATCTATTCGTCGCACTCTCAAAAACTAATCTCTTCCATCGATATGCAAGGCCTCCGATTATTTGTCTAGAACCACTATTAAATCCCATTCTTTTAGGTTCGACGGTTCTTTTCTGACTACGGAATGCCTATAACGGTTGTGGCATCGTCGGCTATGGCTTACTGGGGTCGATTCAACCAAGCCAATCCCACAACTTTGCCTACACAGGGTGCCTTTGCTCCCGCGAACAATCGGAATTGGATTGTCAAATTTTGGGAGCTGGATGGCAAATGGGTTGGGATTGCGTTTCCGTTTGGGATCATCCTCACTGTTCTTTTTTTGTTCGATCATAACGTATCGGTCAGTGTACACACTACTTTTTAAACAGAGCTTCCGCTAATCCTTGGGAATAGTCGTTAATGGCCCAAAGCTCACAGTTTCCCCTTCGTAAGCCTCCGGGCTTCCACTGGGATTTTTTCCTTCTTGGGGTAACTACGTTTATTGCTGGCCTTCTCGGCGTCCCCGCGCCGAATGGTTTGATCCCTCAGGTTCGTTCATCCGTTCTCTCTCGGCCCCTTCAGACGCAAAGGTTGATGGATTTTATCCGACAGGCACCGATCCATACCGAGTCTCTGATTGTACTTGGTTTCCCTGAAAAACGCAGCGAAGATGAAGAAACAGTGGGAAAGGAGATGGGACCGAGAGCACTTCGTGTCGGAGGAGACAGAAAGATGGAGGTGCCCATCGCTGTTGTCGAACAACGGGTTTCAAACCTCGCCCAAGGATCTCTCTGCCTAATCTTGATGAGTAGTCCATTTTTGCATGTCTTGGGCCTCATTCCTCGAGGTGTGCATGACTATTCGTCACTGAGTCACTATGTGCTGCTGACAACTGACTCCAAAAAGGTGTCTTAGCTGGTCTTTTGTGAGTCCCCTGGTAGACCCTTGTTGGCAGGGAATGCAATCTCATTGTCATATAGTTGGTACATGGGTTCGGACGCGTTGCTCGGCAACGGCATCACGGCCAAGATATTATACCTTCTCAGGGATCCGTCCTCATAGAGCCGGTTGAACCCCTACTCCTAGTTCGAAAATCTCGTATCGTATTGTTCGTTGGTTTGGAGCTTATCGGTTTTGGTGCAACGATGGCTATAACTCAAACTATCGGTACGATTCTTCGATTCTCGGTTTCCGCACTAGTCGTTAACGCTTAGATTGTCTTGCAGCTGCAATAGGATTCCCCATTATCATTCTGCTCCTGATCCCACTTAGGGTACTGGTGATCCCAAGACTGCCTTTCACTCCGCAGGAACTGGGTATCCTTGACGGTCCTACGGCATCACCATTCGTGAGTATTTGTTTTCCTCTCTGAAACAGTTCAAAAAAACTAAGCACATTTGGGTGACAGACGATGGCATCTGTTGGTGGACCCTCTAGAGCTGCGACCCCGCCTCCCATCGAAGACTTTCCATCAGGTATCTGCAACAAATTGTAACTTGTGATATTCGAGCACAATAGAAAGCAATGTCTAGATACGCGTCTCGAAGAAAAGTACCACACAGTTGAGGAAACCATCACGGCTACCTAGCTCTGGTTTCTACGCAGCGGACTTCAGAATCCCCCAATGCTCAGATCTACGACTCATTCGACCGTAAAACTTTCAGCCGAGTCATCTAATTTCGCATCCCAAACGACCGACGGAGGGGTGCAGAATGTGGGCCTCGGAGACTAAGAGAGCGAGTAGACCCTCGGTGTATTGCAGAGGAAATCGGATAAGCGTGGCTATGCAACATAACAGCTAGCTACATTTGAACCGTTCGCATGTTAGATAAGAATCCTCAAGGAAAGTGATCAAATAGCAGGGTCAGGTTATGGCTTCGTAGGATGTTGTGGCGGAGCCCCGTGTCAGATATCCGTTGATATCTCGTGACCAGAGTGGTTCGCATCCGCCACTGGCCAGCCACTATCGGACTGAACAACATTGATTTCGCTGCCCCAACAGGCAAAGCCTCTTTGACGCAGTACTGGGACAATGACCGTCCGCCTCACAGTCCAAGTCCACGTGTTTGTCCGACATTGTAACTCCGAGGACCCCACCAACCCGATATCACGAACCAGCGTCCGTTACCATCTAATGACGATCCCCTTATGTGCGCTACACTCTTGAATAGATGGGATAGCCGCACTGCCACATCGTGAGACCACGGATTGCCAAATCACTGATCATCATCACCTACGTGACTACCTCTCGCGATACTATAGACTGTAACCTGCCTACCTCTCGCGATAGACCATCTGCCACCTATCTTATCTTCCATGATGGGTGATGACTTTTCTGTCATGTCCGGGCGTTCGATTTCAAGCATTTCTTCGAATCCATCGACCCTCTGGTCGGGTGTCGTTTCCTCTTCCCTAAGATTATCAACATCGGTGGCCGATATATGTTCTCACATCAAATCCATTCCCGATGCCCATCTACATCCAATCAAAGAGATAGTCGTTAGAGAAGAAGAAGACGGTGTCCGACACGAGTTCCTACTTTTGCGGCTGGCGCAGCCGACTGAGGAAGAATTGTGGATGCGTCTAGAGAGAAAAGGGCCGACCAGTATACGTGCGTTTATGTCCACTAAATGGGAAGCAAATGACACAGTGAGTGTCATTATTGGATATGCTTCGATTGATACTAATCATAATCGCCAACCAGGCCACTTTCTCTGGGGAACGTGACTCTCTATTGGAAGGAGCGAAGAGTGTCGAGAAGACGAGGATCATTTTTTACGCCCCACCTTCACTAAAGGACTTGCTCTGCGTCCTCGAAACACTCACAGACGAATCGAAGTCTTATCGATTATTATCGGTACGGCACAATAATCTCTTGCTGCGTCGTTTATCAACAATAATACTGCTCGTGTTTCTTGTTTGATAGGAAAATTGTTACTTTTTTGCATCTGTAGTCGCTGAAAACCTATGCGGCCTGGCCAAAAGTGCTGAATGCACTGAGCCCTTAAGATGGCTTGATCTTGGAAGTGAAGTCCGTCAAAAAATTCGTCAAAAAATCGCCTCATGTAAAACCCATTCTGTCCACCATTTCGATGCGGACTTAGGAAGCGGTGTCGCGGGTCAAGGTGCGGACCAATTCATGCTTCCACCACCCCCGTACCTACCGCAGCGCCCGCCGCTGCCGCCGCGGGGCCCACCACCGCCGCTACCACCGCGAGGCCACCGCCGCACCACCGCCACTACCGCCCCGGGGCCTGCCGCCTTCCCTCATGCACGTACTGCCACCTGATAACGGGGATAACAAATAGAGTACAAATTATCTGCACGGCAGAGCCACTTCCCCAGCCCACAATTACGTAACTTCTGACCGTGCGAATATTTTCTCCGGTCATTCATTTATTTCGGTTATTTCGGTTATTTCTTCAATCACTCATGCATGCCACTCACTGTTCGAGTACGGCAGCGAGGCTAGGAGGGGGAGATGAATAAGACATAAGAATGATGACGAAGGAAGTGGTAAGATGAAAGATTAGACAAAGGAAAGCTCTTATACATCGAAGGGGCCGGGGAAGCAAGGCGAGCACTCTAGTAAGGGATGGCATTATAACGAGTAGAACTCTAGGTCGCCTGCTTTCTCTCGGCATCTCGTGCCACCACGACTGCTTCGACAAGCTGCTTCATTACTTCCGCTTTATGGCGACCGACTTCCAACACTTCGGCATGTGTTACCTCATGTTGAGTCGCAGGTGGGACAAACCTCCCAGCGAGCTGTAGTTATGATATTTTCAGGATGCTCAAGCCGGATTGGAAGGGATAAAACACTTTCCTCTGCTTCAAATTCTTCTCTCGGAGAGGCGTAGGTTTCAGGGATTACGACTACATTAGTTACCAATGACAGAACAATGACTTGCAACCCTGCTTGACAAGCAGCTACCTGCGCCGCGTTGCGTCTTCAACCGCAATATCCCGAGGACTAAGATGAAAGATGACTCACCACTTCAGGGATGGTACTCATTCCGACGACGTCGGCACCGATGCTGCGCAAGAATCGGCCCTCTGCAGGAGTTTCATATGTTGGGCCGCTAACCCATGCATACGTCCCCTCGGCAAGTGCATCTCGAGGGAGGCCTAGGTTGTAAGCAGCCTTAAAGACAAGCTTGCGGAGTGAGAATGAATAAGCATTAGAAAGGGGGACGAAGCGTGTGTCGAAAGGAGGTGTTAGGACGGGTCCTAGTAGTGCGTTTAGCGGTCCCTGCATAATAATTTAGCCTGGAGTGTCAAGGCTCCTCGTGGAGTCTGCTTACAGTTAAATTGGGCAAAGCAATGTGATCGTGAACCACGACGACTGGGTGGAAAGGAAGTTAGTCAAGGATTTGGGGAAGGTAGACGCGATTGTACTTGTCCCAACAGGGTTTGACGGGTTGAGGCCACCAGCGGCATTCGTGACTGGATAGGGGCGAAAGTCAATAACGGTCGATGGAAGTGAAGGTGGGAAGGGTGTCTCAACTTATGATGTCCTTTACTCCTAATAAAGCCAATAGGCGAATGGGGTAGACCACTTGAGATAGCTGGTAGCCTTCGTACGGATGAAACTGATATAATATCAGTATGCCCTATTATTACTAATGCCTGGACTTGATTGCTCACTCGTCCGAGCATTGCGACCACGGGGACACCTTCACCTTCGCCTATCAGACCGAATGCCAACGCACTAATTTGTCCTGGTACCGTGCTGGTGGCGAGACCTTCAATATCTGCATATGCAATTATGGTTCTCTCCCTCATAGACGCCCCTAATGTCGAAAGGCCGGAACCACAGACAATTGCGATTTGCGGCGTCCTCAGTCGTTCGGATAGACGATCATGAATGATTTTCAGAGCCGAAGCGAAGGTAGTGAGGAGTTCAGTGGCTGCCCTCATGCGTTGCCTTGAGGTGTTACTTTGCAGAGTCACTTGTGCAGATCAGTCACTTGCTGCTGCGATATTAATAAATTCTCAACGCTGAAATTATGTCATCTACTTTCCTCTTTTGTCCGTGGGCCTATTCATTACTCATTTCTGTTTACTGTATGCTTGCCCTCCTCGTTCAATTATATCCGCCCAACTCCGCCCAACTCCGCTACATACAGGCGTGACTCCATTACGGCATATGCGAGGCTATTTCGATCTTTATTTGACCAATGATGAGATAATAATAACATCTCTCAGAAAGCTGCAATAACGCTGTCTATCTATCCTTGCAAGTCCAGCGGGTTTTCTCTTCCCCTTGTTCTCGTGCCACTAGCCGTCCTTTCCCTCCCACTTCTGTGTGACCAGGCCTATGGCCCTTCCTTGGTGCGTCCTGCTCCCAAGTTTTCTGTCTTCTTCCCTCTGTTGATCTTCTCGGGCGTTCAGTATGTCCTTGCTGTACTGTGCTGCCCACTGCTTTCCGCTCGTATCCTGTGGTCTTCTTACCTCTCCCTTTGAGCCCTCTTTCGGTATGTGTGTGCCTATCGTGTCCTTCCTCTCTGCCTGCTCGTTCTTTCCTTTTTCTCCTCTTTCGTTCTACTTTTCTTTATCTATTGTACATCGCCCACTATCGCCCTCAACTTCTTCTCCACCACTTTCTCCAATTCTTCCTCCCACCATTTTCTGCTCCCATTCAGATTTGGTTCGCTGGTTAAGTTCCGGTTGTTTGTCCTCCTCCAGTACATCGCAGGGCATCATTGCGAATAATGTATCTTTGAAATCCCGGATTAACCGCATTTTTTCTTGACCCCTAGCACGGGAAAGCGTCACGTATGCGTTAAAAGGTGTTAACGCTCCCCTTGGTGGCGTCCCGATGTCTGCCCATCGTTTGTCCTTGTGCTCGATAATCCATAAATCCATATGCGAGGTCCATGGTTATCTGCCGTCGCTCCACCTTCTTTTTTCCTTTCCCGCTAAACAAATCGATCGTGCGTACCACTGGAAAAATTGGGATCGTTTTCTCTCCTAAGTTGCCGATCTCAGGTCCCCGGATTCGTTCCATCTTCACCAATACACAGCAAGGCGGATATTTCACGTTCTGAACAACTCCCTCCCTCTGGGGCTCTTCCCGTGGATCTGCCCAGATGTCCACGATCTCTCTGCGCGCTCCGTTTGCTATGTCTGTGTCGATGTTGGATGTGATCATGACTTTGCATCCGATTGCCAGTTCCATTGTGCGTTGCAAGCCTCCTTGACGTTTCAACCGGGCTGAATACTGGTTGTCTTTTAGCACATGATGTGCCCACCGCTCACTCAACGTCAATTCTTGCCCTCGTATCGTATCCTCTGCGTGAAAACGATACAAGGTGTTTCCCGTCCTTTCACAATGCTTACGCAATGCCAGTTCATTCCATTGCGTTCACACTGCGTGATGTGATGTCACCAGTACCGCTCCCATTCTTCTGTATCCCAAGCTCTCAATATTCATCCCTCCCACCAACAGACTCCGTAGCATCGTCAAGTGCCGCTCTTCACACTTTCCGTGCCGGGCGTATCGAAGGAATTCCGTCCGTGCTTCGCCTTGCACCCGCACCTGCTGTGTTAGACACACTACTACTCGGAATCACGCGTAAAGCTCGCTCCCTGTCATCTCCTCTGCTGTATTATTTTCGCGGCTCAGTGGCCAGTAAAGGGGGGCACCTCGGCTTTGTTCCGCTGATGAAAATCTCCACAAATAATAACGTTAACTCCTCCCCATGGGTTTGTTGTAGTCTCCTCAGGATGAATGAGTTCCAAGACAGACGAAATTCGTCCCAATAACGTTCGAGACACCATCGAGTACTCGTCGATGATCAAATACTCCTTTTGCCACCAGTATCATGACAATTTTTCGATTTTCCGCCCACTCGGCATCTTTGCTCCACGTGCACCCAGTCCAAAAAGGACGTGTAAAGTCTTGCCCCCGATGAGACTTGCCGCTATTCCAGTGTAAGCCCCCAACGCAATCTTATCGCTCGCGTTTTGCTTCCTGAAATACTCTACCACTGAATGGATGACGCGTGACTTCCCTGGACCTCCTTCTCCTGTCAGAATCATTTGCAGTTGTTCTGGCTGTTCTCCCCGCTGCCTTGCTGCAAAGTGGTGCGTAATAATACTGTATGCACGTAGCTGGTCCTCATGAAAAGTTGACACATCGATTGTATCTAGAAACGTTTGAGACCTTTCCAGATACTCAACTGTACGTGCCATAACTCCTTCGTTTGGCGCTTGTGTGACGCTCGTCAGCTCTTCAATCCCTGTTACAGTTTCTTCTGTTCCGCTCTAGGTCTCTGCCTGCGTTTTCCTCATCAGTGCTTGTGACCATCGGGTAAAGTTGCTCAAGTCATTGCATGTTGCCGCTCAAACCGTCTCCTGCGTTATCGCCCACGCATTTGGTAGAACCAAGTGGAATTGGATCGGGTAGTTCCGCATTATGCTAGTCACGTGTGCCTGCTCAGGCGCCAGTTACTGTTTTGACTCCACTCAAACTAGATTGTCGTCAATGAACGATATTACTAAGGATAACCATGTTCCTACAACAAATATCTCAAGGAATTCGTCTGGAGAGTCTCTCGATAGGTTGGGAAACCCCAACAGCAGCCCAGGCATTCCTATTCCGTTAACAAGAGACGGGTTTTTTGGATATACTGACGAGAGAGTGATGCATAGTGTATGAGTATCGTCGTTTTGTTTACCGTTAGCCCGTTAACCGCTCTGCCGCCGCCTTCTGTATTTCCAGATAGAGGGGAAATATTACGCACAACAGCATTCTACTTCCGGATCCTTGCTGTCTACTAGTCCGGGACATGTCAGCGAACTTGGTCTCGGTTTTACTCCTATCTCCCCAACAACTTCTGCGCGCCCTCCTTCACCGAGTGAGATTCCTAACTTGACGCTCCCTCCGGAAATGTTTGCAGATGACAGCGCGATCGACGGAGAAGAGGAGGACGAGCACTCGAAGGATGTGCATACCCATTCTGTTCCTCGTTAGTCATGACCCAGTCGTTCTTCCAACTATTTTTGTTCCAAAGTTCTGAAATGCGCTCGTAGAACCTCAGCTGGCATTGTCACCTGAAATGAAAGCACTGTATGCCTCGTTTCAGAAGTGTCTAGAACTCCGTGACAAATACATGCAGCGCTCACTTCAGCGATTGGGCGACAATCCACGCGACCACGATGCAGAATTCGCTGACATAGATGAGTCCGTCCGTGATGTGCCTTGTATCAAGGTAGATGCACCAATCACCTCCTACCCCCGTGCAAACCCTGCAGCCCAGGATAATCCCAAGAGAGAGCATATCGCATGGGAGATTTTCCCGCCTCCACCACCACCACATTGGCATCGGAGTGACGCTGGGTCTCTTGAAGCCCACCCGAACCCTGCCACCGATCGAAAACACGTTAGCGGTAACGAAGAATTCGATTTTACAAAATGCGAGATTCCAGGCATTGCTGAGGGAGATATGGCGACTTGGGATTTTGCACTGGACGAAGGGGTATATCAAACCTATGATGCGATTTCTTGCGTCCAGACTGCATCCGAAGCACCAGGCTCTCGGAAACCCCTTTTTGACATTCCGTCGATCCGGGAATATTTCATGGATCTGGATTATGTTCTTGGTGTCATTTCGGATGGCCCTAATAAGAGCTTTGCCTTTCGGCGACTGAAGTATTTGCAAAACAAAATGTCTATGTACACCTTACTCTATGAGTTTAAGGAGCTTGCTGAAATGAAAGTGAGTGATTTGTTGCACTCATCATGTTAATATCTCACGTTCACGTCCCCTTAGAGGGTTCCACATCGGTAAGACTGCATTCGGCGCTAACGAATGACCTACGGACCGACAACCTTCTACAGTGATTTCTACAATACCCGTAAGGTGGACACCCACGTACACCACTCCAGCAGCATGAATCAGAAGCACCTCCTGCGATTCATCAAACACAAGATGAAATGTAACCCTGATGTAAGCAGGATTCGCTGCTTGCCTCGACCTATCCAATTCAATCTTTTCGTTATCTTGATAGGACGTGGTCATATTCCGGGACAACAAATATCTGACGCTTACACAAGTTTTCCAGTCGCTGAACCTTAGTGCATATGATTTGTCCATCGACACATTGGATATGCATGCCCATCAGGATTCCTTCCATCGTTTCGACAAGTTCAACCTAAAATACAATCCCATCGGAGAGAGTAGACTAAGAGAAATATTCCTTAAGACAGATAACCTTATCAAAGGGAGATATTTGGCAGAATTGACTCAGGGTACGTTCAATGTTTCGACCCGATCCTCGTTTAGGTTCTCATGGAATTCCTGTTTGCTTAGAGCTAATGAATGACCTAGAACAGAGCAAATACCAGGTATGCACTTTCCCGTGGACTATCTGATTCTCCGAGGCTTATCAGTATCTTTGAAGAACTGCGAATGGCGGATTAGCATTTATGGACGCTCTCTTGAGGAATGGGACAAGCTCGCTAAATGGATAATCAACAACAAACTTTACTCGCATAATGTTAGGTGGCTGGTTCAAGTGCCCCGTTTATACAGTCTTTACAAGGAGGCCGGGACCATCGATAATTTTGAAGATTTAATCCGAAGTGCGTATCGCGCCGACCCACGGACTTCATTAATTTCTCACCCATTAGATATCTTCCAACCCCTATTCGAAGTCACCAAGGATCCCAGCTCTCACCCTGAGCTTCATGTGTTCCTTCGGCGTGTGGTTGGCTTTGACAGCGTGGACGACGAATCGAAACCAGAACGACGAATGCATCGAAAATACCCCCGTGCAAAATCATGGAATACAACTCAGAACCCTCCGTACAGCTACTGGTGAGAATGGTAGATGAATGACCAGCTGAGTATACTCGCTAAGATTGCCTACCAATGCAGGACCTATTATATGTATGCCAATATGGCGGACCTTAACAACTGGCGGAGAGCTCGTGGATTCAGTTGCGTTGACCAATACTCTGAATCGAGGGCTCCTCTTCTAATCAACTCCTTAACTAGATACGTTCGTCTTTCGCCCACATTGTGGGGAAGCTGGGGACACAGATAACTTGACTTCAGCATTCTTGGCAGCTCACTCCATCTCTCATGGTATCCTGCTTCGGAAAGTGCCAGCCCTTCAATATTTATTCTATCTCAAGCAGATAGGAATGGCCATGAGTCCCCTGAGCAATAATGCGCTGTTTCTAACTTACGAAAGGAATCCATTCCCCGACTTTTTTAATACTGGACTGAATGTCAGCCTGAGTACTGACGATCCACTTCAATTCCATTACACCAAGGTGGGGAGGGACATAATTTGCTGCCAAACATATGGATGGACTGACGGTGCTCAATCTTATCAGGAGCCATTGCTTGAGGAATATAGTGTTGCAACCCACGTATGGCGCGTCACCTAAGCATTTAGGGATTACTCCAGCTAAACTCGGAAGGGGTATAGATTTACAAGTTTCCTCAAGCCTCGCTGGCAGAGTTGGCGCGCAATTCCGTGATTCAATCCGGCTTCGAGATGGAAATCAAACGTCATTGGCTCGGGAAGAATTGGTATCTTCCTGGGGCGGAGGGAAATGATATCCATAAGGTTCGTTGTCCCTTCGGTAAATTTACTTGAGGATTGATGTTTGATCTTCCGAAGACGAACCTACCCGATATCCGCCTCATGTATCGCCACGATACCCTGCTGCAAGAATTGGAAATGATACGTTCGAGCGGAGACAAAGTACCGAGTCTTGCTGACCTTTCCGAGCGATACCAGAATTCGGTCGAAATGGCGAATTGAAAGGAGGCATCACGAGTCGCCAAGACATGGCCAATTTCCTCCTATCGCCACTTCCCCTTGTATTCTCTGGCCTAGAGCTCTTGCCAAGTCCCGCAACTCGCTTGCATCATCCATTGCGCCGCGTCTCGTGTAGCACGGGCGCTACTGTTCCTTCTGGTTGCATTTACATTCATACAGTAGAACCGATCTTGTATCGATCTTTTCCAACCAGGCTGCCAAAACGATTGGAACGCGATCAACAACGTGTCTGCCCGTTGATTTTTGATTAGGGGTAGCTACCTGATTCGATGGGCTTTAGACATGTACTTTAAGGGGCTAATCGACCAACCCCCCGACCTACGACTGCCATGAGGATGGTCAGTAAACCTTGAGGACAGCAATCATGTCTTACCTCTTAAATACGATGTTAGCCTAGTTTCCTTGCGTGCGGTGTGGCCATTGCGCTCTTTTGCACAGGATGTGTTTACGCTACCGTCCCTTATGAGGATCTCGCCCTCAGATACGCCCCTCAATTTCGTTTGCAGTACGCCTTGCATTCCCTAATCACCGACTGCCTGTTATTCTCCCTACGGAATAGCGGGTCCTATAAATTTTCGCGAATACCCCCGATGCGACTAAACGGGCGCGAAATGATGTGTACACCGTATTCAAATTAAGAATTTTAACACGCAAAATCGCCACAGGCGCCCTAATCAACATATGACACCCCTTGGACAATGTCCAAGACTTCATGAGTGAATTTTTTTTTTTGATCTTGATGCCACCAGCATCACGGAGGAAAATCCCTTCGGACGAACTTCGGATGTGGGCCAGAGCCCCGAAGAACAGTGTGGTGGATCCACTAAAAACCCCCGGTTCGTTGTAGTTAAGATACATGACTAAAAGTGATCGCAGTAACTGGATCCGGAAGTACCGTACACGTGTTGGGTAGCATCCTGACGACCGGCTTCCTTCTTGCGCGCAAGGGCAAGGCCCCTGCGCAAGGGGCGGGTCTCAATCCAGGGTCGTTCCGGCGCACTAGGCCGTACTGGAGCGGAGTATGGGCAGAGATTGGTGGTGAGGGCCAAGATGCACCATCTCACTTACTGCACGTACAATTTATCCGAGGCAGTTGAAAGTGTTGAAGAGTAGAGTGGATAGGGGTAAAGGATATAATGGCCGAAGGAGGCACTGTCACCGAGAAAAAGTCCCCTTCATCGCAAAGTCCAGCCAGTAGATCTCTCAAATGAGGGCGCTAGCAACCCTAAAGAGCCTGCTGGGGGTCTTTGCTGATGTTGATGAAGCTAGTCACACAATGGGCCGCCCTGCACTGAAATCGGGGTGCAAACCTTGTGCAAGGCCCGGGCAAGAGAAGTAAGCGGTGTGAATCTAGAGGCGCACCTGGAAGTATTGCTGAGACTTGATGTGATCAGACGCTATCGGAGATGGGGGGATGGAGGCAGAGGTCGTCCAGGAGGGGTTTTATACACGTCCTGTCAGAGGGTTTGATCATGATCTTGACTGAAATCGTTCAGACCAGTCAAGATCGGGAGTGTGTGGCATCTGCGACTCACATCACTCAGTTCAGGTTGAATGATCCAGGATGGTCTGAGAGACGCATTGCGCTGAGTGAAACCCGGAAGCGTGGGCCCGAGGGACGGCCGGCATGCTAATGTTTCGACTAATGCTGTCCTAGACCATTTACTAGAACTGAGTGGAACTTGGTCCACGATGTGTGGGGGTAGATCGTAGCACATCAGTGAGACAAGACAGTGTCTGTTTGACACAATGCCGGTGAAAGACGGCTTGTCTGGCTCACCCTGCCGGAACCTTCTAAGTACGCGTATTTCCATCACCGATCACCCATATTTTGTGTTCATCCTTAAAGGAGCCTTTTTCCTTTCAGGGGTAAAACAGCATGATAATTATATTCAGAGGAAACCGTCAGACTCAGGTTAGAACAAAGCATGACGTGAGGCGAGATTAGTTTCTGGTCAGTGTTCGATCGGCAAACTCCACGAATTCACCTGGCCTCCGACATTGCTTGGGTGTTTTTTTCCTTGGCTTCGGTATCGGTTCTCACACAAAGCTTGATCAGATCAAATGCCGGTACTTGTTCAAGTTGTTGGAAAGCGATCTGAAACACGTATTTACAATGTGTTTGCACTAACAAGTCTATCTTCAAAGTCTATTCGCCATCTGCACTGTCTTGGACTGAAATAGAATACTTCCAAGGCCGATGACAAGCAATTCATTGTTCCGGACTATGTAAAAACGCGACGCCGCCTTGGTCTTGTTCATTACCTCAGCAACTCGTCATTCCTCGTCCTCTTCTGGGATCACAACAGACGGACGGCAAGACCTCTTCTCAATGCAATGCAGCTCTTACGAACAGACCCGTGGAATTTTCGCGTTGCGCCTCATTGGTGTCGATCTCAGTACATAGTTGCCCATCGGTAAGCTAGTTATGTCGGGATACTCAACTGCGCCTAATTAATAAATTACATATAGGCATGTGAATCGTCATGGGAGCTAGCAGGTAGATCGATATTATTGCTTCATGGGAAAATGAGAAGCTAGCTCTTCCGGAACCGGAAATCCCGAAACCTTCACTCACTATCACTGCATGAACAAGGACAAGCCCGCAATCATGCTACTAAAAGCACTGCCAAGAACGCTGGATGAAATAATAACACTGGTAGTCTTTGGCTGCCCTCCTAGCTTTGGCGCGGCGCTTTCTCCGTTTCTCCCGGTTCTTCTCCGTCTTCGTCTTAGTTTGTCCGCTTTTCTCCTGGAATTTTTGAGCTTCGTCAGGGTCAATCTTATCTTCCGCTGTTTTCCAAACTCTCCTCTTAAGTATGAAACCAACAAAGGCAACCGAAATGGCTACCCATGGTCGTGCGACTTGCTGCCAGTCACCGAAGTCAGAGTGGGCGCTTGGACCAATGAGGGATTATTCGGGGCATATCGCGACGATTTGAGGAGCAATTTGGAAAAGTAAGGTTAATAGCTTTTCCCCCCATATCTTTGACGACATCCCATATAGCAGAACAAGTAACGCCCTCTAGAGTTGCCTTCCCGTTTAGTAGCAAGCCCTACGAGGAGCGGACAGGGGTCACGTACCCTTTAACATAGATGCGTATTTGTCAGTTGGCAGATGCCCTTTTGCTTGCCACAATGCAAGAGCAATCGCAACGCCTAGCCCTGCGACGCCTAGCACCGCGTGCAGCTGTTCCGCAGAGTTCGGAAGTGCCTGCAAATCAATTGAAATTTGGGGTGAGAGTGTGAGATTGTAACAAAGAGGATGTTGTTACATTTCCCAGCGAACGCATTCCCAACAGTGCCTTGAAGTGCTGGGCGTAATATCTCCCATATCACAGTACTGACACTCGTGTTAAATGATGTTTCCTAGTACGAATAAAGATAAAGTCAAAGCACGCTCCCGCGGGGGTGTTGAAGGTCTGGACATGCTGCGTTGGCAAGTTTTGGCTCAAAATCCGTCATTATTCCACGAGGACCAAAACGATGAGTGGGAGGAGCTAGACTCTATGAACAGGGGCATTGCGGCCTTACTTAGGCAAAAGACGATTGATACACGCCACGATTGCATGGTTCTGTAGAACCACCTTGCGACCCAAACTGGGTTCTCCGCTTCTGGCTAGTCCTCACAGCTTATCGTTGTTTCTTGTAGCTATGGCTAATCCCCCACTTTCATATAGACAATTTAATGATATGGGAGACAACTGAAATGGAAGCTCCATAAAATCGGTGAGCAATTAGTAATATAAAGCAGGCACAGTATTTACCATCTTGACAATTAAACAAACAATAGTCATATATTTGATGGGTGATCCAACTACTTTCGGCACCCCGAAAATGACGAAAAAAATGTAGAATCGAATACCCCAGGATAACAGCGAGGCCAAGCATGGAGTAGGCCCCCAAGGCAGTTCAGCGTCCCAATTAACGATCGATGGGCCGTGTTTACTGTTCAAAAAATTCGGGAAATTCCGGTCTCAGCTAGCGAGATCTTAAGGTGTCATTCTCTACCAGAATTGTTGGCAAAATTTTGGAGCGTTTTGCTTCAGAGGTTGGTATCCTGCCTTACGTCCTAACAACGGCCATGGGCGGGCCGATGCCTGGTGCCAGCGCCCCACTCCATCGTGCTTGCGGCAGTGGCAATCCTTTCGCCTTACCTAGTCAGCATGGAGCGAGCGCGGTGGATCAATGATAAAGCCATGAGGCGCTAGCAGATTTCAGATCGGCAATCTGCATGAAGGCTTTGGGTTCATTATAATTTAACAGGGGTGAGTACCATTCACTGAAGTCTGGGCACTGCCTTCACTTGGGGCGCAACTATGATCTCCAATCCTCCGAGGCTTGGTGCGGCGCTCACTTAGCCTGTTCTCCGTCGTTGGCAGTTCTCCTCGGGGTCACCTTTCCGCCGGCACCATTTGGTGTGCCGCTGCACAAAACATCGGCACGCTCTTATAGGTATCCCATTTGCCTCAGCACTTTCCAAACTATAACAAGTGTGCGAATGGATAAAACCAGAAGAACTAGCCAATGCGGCCCGGAGGCCTGCAAACTGGAGTCAGAGTGGGCGCTTGGAACAATAGGGAATTGCTTGTGACATACTACGATAACTGTGGGAGCGACGTAGATGAGTAGCAATTCACACGTGAATCTGGCCCAATCCAATGGGGTGTGACAGTTATGGATCCCTGGAATAGCTTGGCGTTTAGTAGCGAGCTTCATGAGGAGCGGATAGGGGTGTCACGTACGCTCCATGAGGGATTCAATCTCCTCAACAATTACCTCCCCTACTGCATGCAATATCTTGCCCAGTAGTTCTATGGACTTCCGAAGTGCCTGTGGCCGAAGTACGGTGAGGGTAAGATTTGCAGCAACAAAATTTTTGTTACCTTCACCAATAATTCCTTTACTTTAGCAAGCGCGCCCTTAATAGCTCTAAATGCCTGACATAACATCTCCCATATGGTATTCAAAACCATGTCAGATGAAGTTCGCTAATATAAACCAAGTCAGAGCATGTTCGTTCATTGGGAAATGTGGAATATTCGGATACTCAGTTGGCTGGGGTTTTGTTGTTATGAATGCGATGGGAAAGGAGAGGAGAGACTCGATCCATCATATTGACAATAACGTGCAGTCTTATAGGGGGGATACACGCCGTGATCGCACGGTCCTTGCAGAAACCCTTGGGCCCAGGGGTGATTCCCCACTTGTGGCTGACCCTCATGGCTTTTGGCTGGTTCCCAGTGTAGCCACGGCCAATCCCCCACTGCGCAGAAAAATCAAACGAAAGCTCGACTACAAAATTCGTGAGCCTATGATAATACGGCCCGGCCGCGCGCGGGTATTCTCAATTACGAAAACCTAGTACCATACCAGGCAAAGGATTTGCGACCAAGACAGACAGTCCTTTATAACGGTTTTTGTTTTCAAGCCTGGATCCGAGAACTGTTATCCTCGACTTCCGATTGATTTTAGCAAAGGAGATTTATATGATCCAGGCAGAGTTTCTCGCCAACAAAATTGACAAACTCAAATGATACCTTGGAACATATTGTACTCCTGAACTCTATTGCGCTTGCGGTAACAATTCATTGACATGACAGCCACAAAGTCTAGAGTATGAGGGTTGACTTCGACTTTGACGGCCCAAAGGACTGCGGTGACGATCTATATCTAGGATCCCTTCGGTCTGGATTCTAACTTGAAGAATCACTTCTTTTTTCTCGCTTAAAACTTTTGGCCAAGCTCACCAGGTGTCTGTTTATTCTTTTCCATGCGTCACCAGCCAACATCGGATCCAAATCTACGCGCACCCAATTTTCGCATCGTGGCAACTTGTAGCATGCGCGACCTGGACCCCCCTATAGATGTGTCAAGGCTTTTGCCTGCTGATTGCACGCCACACACACACAATGAGAGTTTGATCAGTTCGTGAGGCGTTTTGCAGGTTGGTTGAATTTGGCCAACCGAGACAAAGGTATAGCGCGCGCTAATGGTAAGTTGGAAGCATTACCGATGCGTAGGTTTAGGGCGGATATTGTGATGGCACTGTAGATCAGGCAAAAGACCATGTGAACATCGACTCAGGCATTGCCAGCATGGTAACCACTAAAGCATTCCCCACCGCCCGACTGCCACAAGTTCCCCATCGCAGCATCTTTCGTCACGCCAGCCCCCCGGATCCTGACAAATTTACACCTTCTGTATTTTGTGTGTGCACAGGCACCAGCGCAAATCAAGCTCGTAACTAGTCCCATAACATTAACAAATAACAAAAAAGTGACATGATGTAGAACAGAGCGCTAAAGGAAGAGACAGCATGTAACCGTGACTGACAAAAATGGCACAGCTCAAACACAGGGCCATCGATACTGATAACACGGCATTGATTTACGCGAAAGCTAGGTCTTCCAGCTACATCAAGGTTGAAAGATTGACAAGGCTTTCGCGATCAGTGAACAAATCAGGTGTTATCATGCTGGTATTATATATACCTTTGGTCGCTGACGTAAGCGAGCACTATCTTTGCATAAATCGCAACAAATATCTACAGCATTAGGTGGTTAAAATGATAGATTAAGGTTAATGTCGCTTTCTCTCCCTGACCCCTTTCCATGGGGGCGACGTCACTTGCCACCAGTCGACCAAACATCCCACAACCTTGCGAATGCACAGACAAAGGTCACCGGCCGGGATCAGTGCCTGCTGAAGCGGACCACACTTGGGTGCTTGCTAAAGAACAAATAATCCATTGTAAGTCGATAACTGGAGCGTCGTATATTGTTTGTCATTGAGGCTGGAGGAGGCCGTCCAATTGCGGTTGCGTGGGGTCAAGGCCTGTATTTGCACTTGTTTGTACCGACACCTTCTAACCATATTGTGTTCGTTCAACAGAAAGATGCTGTGGGGCAGCCACTACCCCAGCCACTCGGTGGAGCAGATGTCCATCAAACAGACCCCTCTCTATTTCGGGTTTATGCCACTCATGCTATAGGCGTTCGAGGGTGAGGATGGAAACGCGACAACCGAATTGTCCCATCGGTGTTCGTCCTTGTTGACTCCATAGAATCTCCCCTACGAAGTTGGGTTGTACATCCTGGCCAGGCTTTCTTGCAGAAGTAGTTTTTGTTCAGTGTTTCCCTGGTAAACCAACAATTCCAGTATTTTGCGTACCGACTGCTTTGGAAGAGCTACACTATTCTGATGTCCGGAGGGCGACGGACTTTCCTGTTGTCCGAACGCTGTTGCTTGCTATTGGCATGTGCGAATATCCGATTTCATGTGCGCTCTCTGGACATTAAATTGACTGCCCCTTTTGGTGGAGAGGAGGATAGTGGCGAACCAAATGATTCATCACTTTTGCTGAGCCTTGTCGAGTCTCCCAAATCTTGTCAGCTTGAAGATTATCTAGAGGTCGTCTCATGAGATGATTGCAGTATCACTATAGCGCTGGGCCGCTCGATTCAAACTCAGACATCTATCCATCGACTTGATCTTTTACAGAAACCTTCATCAATACAGCTACTCATCACCAACCTGGAATTCTCGTCTCCGTCTGACTATCGAAAGCCACTCTCCCCATCCGTTGCACTCTTTGCACACTCCAGTACAACCACATTATGCCAACGCCAGGGCGAAGATACACCTGCTGGATCATGTTTGACTCAGCGCTTCCAGCAGATGGTTCACTTCTGGTCCTTTCAAGTCCAAACGGACGATGAACCGCGTGGCCATCGAGATCATCCAATTTCAAGTTGTAGACACCAACCCTAATCGCTAGAGGATGGTCAGCAGTTCGTTCGTTGACTCGCCTGATGAATTCTTTCGACACGTTTAGCAATTCATCGCTCCCGAAATACAGCCTATGAGACCATAAACTTGTTCTCGACGACATCCTTGTGATGACTGGCACGCAGTCGTGCTCTATCTGTTATCCAGAGTTCCCGGTTACGAGAAATTTATATGGTTGGCCAACTAGCCACTCTTGTGTTCACGTTACCCTTCAATCTCTGAAATCCCTTCGAGAGTCGAGGTGTCGAGCCGAGTGGAAGCTTGATCAGCGCGGTTTGTGCCGGTGTTGTTCGCGAGTATTGCAATTTTCTTTTAACTGGCTATAGGAGCCGAGGTCCCTGACATCCGTTATAGTAGCAGGGATCAATGGCGTGGCATTCTTCCAGAAGTGAAGACATCACTCACCGGATATGACCTTGATGCGGCGTTGTGGGCCGGTGCGGAAAAAAAGTCGATCCGCTAGTTTCAATTCAAACATCTTGGCCTGCATGATGGCGAGGAAGATTCAGATGTTGGTGCCCGCTGATGAACCTCCCACCTGGTTACATGGGTTCTCACTGGCAGGGCAACCGCTTTTTTTCCCCTCTACATCTTGACCGTTCGTGAGCGTTTAGGTCCTGGTCATCTAAACCCGCCGTGGTGAACGTATTCTTTGACTGACTAAACGTTCTTAAGCACACCCGACCTCGACTTTTATTCGTTCTCCAGTTCCTACTATGGCTGTTCCTTCTGCAGCCAGACTCATTCTTGGTCTCGTCTTTTCGTTGCACCTCACCCTATGGGTACACGCCGCCGTCGTCATCTCTGACCCGAACCTTGTTTCCAACAAGACATATGACTATATTGTCGTTGGCGGCGGTCTAGCGGGATTGACGGTGAGTTCAGTATCTATTTATTCACACATTAGTGCTCACCGCTGGTGCATCCGAGTTCTCTAGGTGGCCGGACGGCTCGTGCAAGACCCGGCGGTCACGGTCCTGGTCATCGAAGCCGGAAACGATGATCGAAACGATCCACGCGTGTTCGACATCTACCAATTTGGACAAGCCTACTTCTCTTCTCTTGACTGGAGTTACCCCGCTGAGGGTGGGAGGAGTATCCGGGCGTGAGTTTTCTTCTAAGACTCACGACTTGTTGAAGTCGCAACAACTGACGGTATTGAGTATCTTGTAACTAACGCAGGGGAAAAACTTTAGGCGGTAGCTCATCCATCAACGGTGCTACCTGGACGCGTGGAACACAAGCACAATACGATGCCCTAACCCAACTCCTTTCGCCTGAAGACCAATCCGCCAATCTAGGTTGGAATTGGGCTTCCCTTTCATCCTACATGCGTAAAGCAGAAAAGTTCAACCCTCCATCTGCTGCTCAACGGGCTAAAGGAGCCGATGATATTGCTAGCTATCATGGAAGTTTTGGCCCTGTGAATGTTGCTTTTCCTCAGAAAATGTATGGCGGACCCCAGCAAAAGGCATTTGCGAATACCGTAGTCAAGTTCGGGGTGGCAAAATCTAGGGATTTGAATGGGGGCCAACCCAACTGTGTTGCGTTCACTCCTAATGTAAGCGAGTTATAACCCTTTCTTATGTAACAGTGCTGCTGATGCGGATGTTCCTGCTGCGATTCTATTATGTAGTCCATAAACCCCTCCGATGGAGACCATCGTTCCTCATCTGCGTCCTCATACCTCACTCCCGTCGAGACCAAACGTAAAGGATGGACGGTCCTGGTTGGACAACAAGCCACCAAGATCATCTTCAACCCATCCACATCCCTCCCTCGTATCGCAACGGGTGTACAGTTTGGTACGTCCAACGGAGCGAGGTACATCGCAAACGCTCGAAAAGAGGTTATCGTTGCTGCGGGTGCTATCGGATCTCCTGCTTTCCTTCAGTTTTCCGGTGTAGGCGATCCGACCGCGTTATCGCGATTTGGGATCAATACTGTCGTGAACCTTCCTACTGTTGGGAAGAATTTACAGGAGCAGAGTCTGACTGCTCAAGGTGCCAGGGGAACGGGTTTTAACGTTGGAGGAAGTGGACCATCGGATGTCATTGCTTTTCCTAATATTTATCAAGTAAGTAATTTGGTTGTAGAAATGAAACACACTTAGTTAGCACCGCTCACATTGTCTTCTCTTCCAGTTATTCGGGAGCAGTGCTCAGACGATGGTTACGCACATTAAATCGTCCTTATCCGCTTGGGCTTCCTCTCAAGCTGGCAATGCTCTTTCTGCAGCTGCTTTGCAAAAAATCTACCAAATTCAGGCCAACCTTATCATCAATACCAACGGTGCGATTTCTTCTGTCTGCCCAGTCGCTGCTAATCCACTGATGTTACCCCAACAGCGCCTATTGCTGAGATTTTCTCCGCTACTGGATACCCTGATAAAGTTGGAACTGCAAACTGGCCACTGCTTCCTTTTTCTCGTGGTAACGTCAGAATTACGGTGCGTCATGATCATCTTGCCTACGCACAACGAGTTATTATTCTTAACTTGCGCGATATTGTTACCACACGTGCGCAATGTAAGTACAGTCCAGCAACCCTTTCGAGAAGCCTCAGACAACTGTCAATTGGTTCGCCATTGATTTTGACTTGAGCGTCCAAGTTGCCATCGGTCGTTTCGTTCGTCGGCTCTTCCAAACTACCCCTCTCAGGTTAGTTAGTTAGCTTTCCACGTTCCACGTTCCCTCGTATACATAATAACCAAATACCCACCTTTTGTGTGTGTTGTGTGCCGCGAACTAATACGGTATTGTAATTCCACGAACGAACAGCTCGTTGACGCAAGGCGAAACTTCGCCTGGTTTCTCTGCTGTTCCTGATAATGCCCAACATGGGACGGATCAAGCGTGGTCGAGTTGGATTAAGAATACGTTCGTGGCCGTGAGTCACCCTATCGCCACCTGCGCAATGATGGATCGAGCTTTGGGAGGTATGTGATTAATAGCACGGCACGAGCGCAGTTTGATGCCACTATTTCTATCGGCTTCAAAACGGAATATAATGCTGTTGCTTTTAGGTGTTGTCGACGGTCATTTATTGGTGTATGATACGAAGAACGTTCGTGTCATCGATGCATCGATCCTTCCGCTTCAAGTGAGCGCACATCTGTCGAGTACGATATATGGTATTGCGGAGAAAGCTGCGGATATCATCAAAGCTGCAGCATGAATGTCGCTGAACTGCCGACAACGAGTGATGAATATTTGCGTTTGTTTCTCCCTCAATCTTTGGTCCCGTTGTCTTTGGGGACTTTGTTTTCATATTGCTTGCACTTATTTGTGACTCGGTTCTCCGAGTGCATTTCACAACGTTAATGTTCTTACTACATCGCTACAGTCTTTTTGGAATATAAGTGGGAAACGAGAGCCAGAAACAACTGTTTTATTTTGGTACTTGGTGACTCTGAAACACCCGACGAAGATTAACTACGGGTTCAAATCCAACTTCTGGAGTTCGCTAGCTACGGTTAATCATGACCCAAGGGAGTGGAAGGTATTATTGGGTTGCCATCGATGACCCCCAGCGGTCAGTTGTACATACCGGTTCATGACTTCCGCATTCGCTGACTGCGAACCTCTCCTTATTCCGCCACCAAAAAGAAATAGTATTCGGATGCGATAGACTTGGGGCAATTTCCAAACAAGGCTCTTGAAACAAGCGAAACTCATTGCAGTCTGAGGGGGGGGGGGCGTGCGACGTCCCGATTCCCGAGCAAAGGATCTCTCTGGGAAATCGAACGAGACTGAAAGAGACGGACGTACGCCTCGACCGTGCTGATGAACAAGCAACAGCGGCTAGACAGACGATGGAACCCAGTCTTTTTAATCCAATTCTGAAAACTGTACGTTGTGTCACGGACAATACGGTGACTTTTCTCCCAGATTGGTAACTGCTTCGTGACATAACTGAATTTCAATTAGTTGATCTAGGAAACGCTAAGCAAAGGTCAGGATTATCCGATCCTGGATCATGCGGTCATGCGGTAGGAGGTACAGCCTAGTCAGCCATCTCCCCTCTATAGGCCGTCATTAGATGGCTGACTAGGCTGATTGTATTGCTATCAGTATGGGGGCCCCCGGAATTTACCTGTGTTGCAGTGTTATACTATACACTCAATTGTGGAATTATGTTTACCCCCCTGAATAATATATGGGGGGCCCCATACTTGTAGCAATACAATTGGGGGATGGCGGAGCCATTTGCCACTGGGTCCATTGCACGTTACGCAAAGGCAGCCAGGAAGGAACGTGAAGGTGCTGATGTGATATCAAGTGAGAGCAACAACGGAACAGGCCACTACTCACTGTACAACGAGAAACTTTTCGCACTAATAGACTGCAAGGACGATGATTTGTGGCGTCGACTCGGATGATGGTGGAGGATGGCAAACGTGAGTGATACACGGGGTAGGCATCGGTGGCGTTGATTGAACTCGGCGTCGATAGCAATGGCCACAAAACGACCGCGTCAGGGTAAGCGCCCATGATGAAATTGAATGAGTGAAGTAGCAGGATGGAGAATGGTAGACATCGTGAGACGGAGGAATGTGCTGAATATGAGCAGAAACCAGGAGCAACGAACGAAGGTCTTCCATTGACATGATAAGTGGCGTACCAAACGCGGCTAGCACGCGAGGGAAAGGCAAAGCCAAGACTAAGGAAGGCTCGCATGCCACAGTATGTAAGCAGTGATACAAGCGGCCCCTCACTTCTGTTGAGGTCTATCAGTGAGGTCCAACGCGATTGTATGGCCCAGGACGCGCGCGTTTAGGTTTGTCTGGACAGTGGACTCTAGGGAGTATTAGTTAGGCGGGGCCGACTGTCTTTCGTTCATCGGCGTACTAAGATATCGAGAACGGTGCCCGAAATTAGCTGATCGGGAGGCGTAGATTGGTTTGAGAGAGACAACATCGGGGAGAAACGAGTGAGAGTGTCTGATTGTGGTGGAGCTGACGAAATAAGTGGGCTTTATCCATGTCCTCCCACAAAAACCCCCATTGAATCTCCTATCTGTTGGGCTACGCATTTCCGCATGATTAATTCGTCATCGCGTTGGGTTGATGCCTCAATGGATATATATAACCATGCAAAGGGAGACCGGCCTAGCTAAGTAGTTTTGCTAACTCCTCCGATCATATCGCAGGTGTTCCCAACAGAGCAAAGCTCAACGCGAGTTGCAGCGTGAGATCGAGTACGGGGTGTTTGCATATTAGCTCACGTAGAACCGCCAGAACGGCGCTTATTGTACTCTAAGGGCTTCCTGATTAGGTGACTTGAAGGGGCTGTACTCGATCGTCGTTGCAATATGTCCAAAATGTTCAGGAAAGTCAAGGAAGGCAAGGAGAAACTCAAGGAAAAATTCTCCAAGAAGAAAGATACATCATCGCAAAGTCTGCCACTTGCAGGGGCCTCTGCCACAACCACGCTGCCATCGTCAAGTTGGGACACGGGACTCAACACGGGGCTCAGCACGTGGAATGGTGTTCTGAGCTTGTTGAGTATCGCTGAAAAGACTCTCGATAGTGTCCCGGTTCCTGGACTCAAGAGCGCGATCAGTGGCTTCCTTGAAGTAGTCAATCAGTTGAAAGTGAGTGAGATCCAGAACTGCGCCAGCGGATCCTTAATGCCCGGATCTTACAGCAAGTTAGTGGCAACGCCGATGCGATCAGTCAACTCGAGAACAGTGTCAAATTCTTTAACCGGTCCGTATCGGAGCCGCTGGAACAGTATAAGGGAAAAGGTGCTGTTCCACCCGAGCTTGCCCAAGCAATCGATGCATTGTCGGCGTGCGTTTGAGAGTATCTCGGAGTCGGAATAATTCTGAATTCCCCTGTCAGTAATCTGGATGAGGTTATCTCGCCCTTAAAATCGCACCAGGGCCAAAGTCGTGTTCAGCGGTGGGCGGATCGTAACAAAATCGGCGGCGATGTCCAGGAAGCTGGGGAAGGGATACGTGATGCTGTGAGGGCCTTTCAAGTAAGTTTTCTCCACGACGTGTAAGCCATGCATCAAACGTTAATTAATGGACATAGGCTGCGCAAGTAGTTCGACTTGCCTTAGGGATTGAGGTGCGGTTCGGTTTACAGTTATCCTCCTAGCTCCCAAGCTAACCAATAGTGTAGCAACTTCGCTTGGATTCTCATCTTAACACTCTTTCTCATACACTTGACGCCGGCTATGACACCAGCAGGCAGGGCGCCCCATCCAACTGTTTCCCCGGAACGCGAACCGAAATCCTTGATCACATCAAGCAATGGTTGCACCGACCAATCAGCGATACAAGTAAATCTGTGTTCTGGGTGAACGGCCTGGCCGGGATTGGCAAGTCGACCATCGCTTGCACCATGGCGCGGTACGCCAAGGAGTCTGGCCTTCTCGGGTCAAGCTTCTTTTTCGTCCGTCAACATGCAGGGTTGTCCAGTGCGAAATTCTTCCTTGGGACGATTGTACGGGACCTCGCCAAGAAGCTTTCGGCTTTCGGCGCGGCTGTTGCGGAAGCCTTGAAGAAAGATGAGAAGCTTGCCCGTGCCTCCCTTGCAACCCAATGCTCCGACCTCTTCTTCGTGCCCCTTCGACGCGTCGATCTTTCGGCACCTCTTTTACTAGTGATTGACGCTCTAGATGAGTGTAATCGAGACGAAGCAGACGGTGCGAAAGGAATACTCCGTCACCTTGTCGACTGCTGCACTGGCATCCCTGGCCTCCGTATACTCATAACAAGCCGCCCGGAGCGCCATATCACTGTCAAGCTCAACCAGGCCGCAAACATCGACAAGGTTGTAGTTCATGAAGTTGATAAGAATATTGTTTCTCACGACATTGAGCTATATCTCCAAGACCGGTTCAAGTCTATTCGCGAAGATTTTAGTGATATCATCCAGGATGAGTGGCCTTCATCCCAAACTGTCTTGGATCTCACAAGGAAAGCTGGCGGACTCTTCATCTGGGCTGCTACCGCATCCAAGTTCATCGGAGATGATAAGGCTATGGATCCTGAGCGTCGACTGTGCGCTGTATTGGGTGGTGCAGATCCGATTGATGCAAGTCCTTATGCTGACCTGGACAGCCTTTATAAAACAGTCTTGTCCACGGGTGTGGATGGAATCCCTCAAGATATACGTCCCCGGTTTTACCATCTTCTCCATACTGTTGTTCTGCTGAAAGATCCATTGCCTATGAAAGCACTTGGCACTTTCGCCACAGTCCCTGATCCGAAACCATTGCTAACCCGCATACAATCCATTATTCCACTACCCTCAGAGCTGGAGGGAAAAGTGGAGATCTATCACCCTTCTTTTCCGGATTTTATCATGGAACGGTGTGAGGATCTTGAAGTGAGGGTTGATGTGGAGAAGCATGGGAGGTGGATGGCCCTTCGCTGCCTCAATCTTCTCAATGAGAAGCTTGTTCCTGCAGTAGATGAGATTATTCCATGGAATTCGCTCAATGCAGGTGTGGAGAATCTTAGTGCCAAGCTTACCTCAGTAGTGGGGGAAGAAGTGCAGTATGCATGCCGCTTTTGGACATCCCATTTAGGAAAGGTTCAGCAGGTTGATGGTGAGGTTAGGGATATGCTGGAGAGGCTCACTGGTCTTGGGAATAATGTGGGAAAGGGTCTATTGTTACGGTGGATTGCCATGATGAGCATGATGGGTTGTGTGGGTGATGCAGCTAGGGGTATACAGGAAATCCTTCCCTGGATGGTCAGTGGTCAGGCTACTTGATTGATGATCATAGTACTGACTATTGAATTAGAGATCAAAAAGTCTCCTGGCTCACATTGCCCCTGTTTTTCATGAAGCCTTCCAGATGATTTTGACCTATGCCCCAACCATTGAAGCTAGTGCAGCACACATCAGCCAGTCTGTTTTACCATTCCTTCCCATCAATAGCCAGCTCTTGGGAGCTTTCCAACAAGGACCCAATCCAACTGTAATTGTGCATAATGGGCATGATTCAGATTGGCCCTCTAGCATTGCCACTCTGACTGGACATTCTGATCATGTGAAATCTGTGGCCTTCTCCCCAGATGGATTGCTCCTGGCATCAGCATCACATGATGAAACCATCAGGCTGTGGGATCCTCACACTGGGAGTCACCTCAAGACATTTGAGGGCCATTCTGATTGGGTGAGATCTGTGGCCTTCTCTCCAGATGGATTGCTCCTGGCATCAGCATCTGATGATCATACCATCAGGCTGTGGGACCCTCACACTGGGAGCCACCTCAGGACACTTGAGGGCCATTCTAATTGGGTGACATCTGTGGCCTTCTCTCCAGATGGATTGCTCCTGGCATCAGCATCTGATGATCATACCATCAGGCTGTGGGACCCTCACACTGGGAGCCACCTCAAGACACTTGAGGGCCATTCTAGTTGGGTGACATCTGTGGCATTCTCTCCAGATGGATTGCTCCTGGCATCAGCATCACAAGATGAAACTATCAGGCTGTGGGACCCTCATGCTGGGAGCCACCTCAAGACACTTGGGGGCCATTCTAATTGGGTGACATCTGTAGCTGTCTCTCCAGATGGATTGCTCCTGGTATCAGCATCACATGATTGTACCATCAGGCTGTGGGACCCTCATGCTGGGAGCCACCTCAAGACACTTGAGGGCCATTCTAATTGGGTGACATCTGTGGCCTTCTCTCCAGATGGATTGCTCCTGGCATCAGCATCACATGATTGTACAATCAGGCTGTGGGACCCTCATGCTGGGAGCCACCTCAAGACACCTGAGGGCCATTCTAGTTGGGTGACATCTGTGGCCTTCTCTCCAGATGGATTGCTCCTGGCATCAGCATCACAAGATGAAACCATCAGGCTGTGGGACCCTCATGCTGGGAACCACCTCAAGATGCTTGAGGGTCATTCTGATTGGGTGAGAGCTGTGGCCTTCTCTCCAGATGGATTGGTCCTGGCATCAGCATCAGATGATCATACCATTAGGCTGTGGGATCCTCACACTGGGAGCCACCTCAAGACACTTGAGGACCATTCTAATCGGGTGATATCTGTGGCCTTCTCTCCAGATGGATTGCTCCTAGCATCAGCATCAGATGATCATACCATCAGGCTGTGGGATCCTCACACTGGGAGCCACCACAAGACACTTGAGGGCCATTCTGATTGGGTGAGATCTGTGGCCTTCTCTCCAGATGGATTGCTCCTGGCATCAGTGTCATGTGATCATACCATTAGGCTGTGGGATCCTCACACTAGGAGCCACCTCAAGACACTTGAGGGCCATTCTAGTTGGGTGACATCTGTGGCCTTCTCTCCAGATGGATTGCTCCTGGCATCAGCATCACATGATGAAACCATCAGGCTGTGGGACCCTCACACTGGGAGCCACCTCAAGACACTTGAGGACCATTCTGATTGGGTGACATCTGTGGCCTTCTCTCCAGATGGATTACTCTTGGCATCATCATCAGATGATCATACCATCAGGCTGTGGGACCCCCACACTGGGAATCACCTCAGAACACATGAGAGCCACCCATGTTTGGTGACTCCTGAGGCTTTTGGCATACTTAACATGATGGAAGGGCAATGGCTTTGCATTGGCTCTACTTATATTTTTGCTATACCCCTTAATATTCTAACCACTCTTGTTTCCCATGGAAGTCTTACAGCTTTTGGAACTGAATCTGGAAAAGTCTCCATTCTCAATATTTCACCTGCCTTTGATAAGCTTGATAGTATATAAACTTGCCCAACAACTACTATGCCATATGGTTTAGTTTGCCACTATTTTCTGGACACTGAAAAGCACATCTGCCTGCACTCAACCACCTATGATAACTCTGTATGCCTATAATTACTTACTCTGCAGTCTCACTTGCCATGGCACAATCATGTAAATTTCTGACATTGAAATTACATGGGTTACTGCATCATCTTGCTTATATCTCTATTGTTAGAAACAGCAGATTCAGATGGTTCCAGAAGTGGAACAAAGACTTGATGCATGAGGACCTTGGCCTCAGTGACTCAGAAGGGAGTGCTGCACCACTACTGTTTGTCCAAGAGGGTCCTTATTTCAGGGATGACAAGGTAAGTCTTGAGGGGGTGAATCAAGTGGGGATTCAAGTCAGACTTCTGGTTGCAATTTTAGACTGGGGTACAAACAATTATGTACATAGTCTATATATAAGGGGAAACAGGAGACAAGAGAACAAAGGGATCCTGTCAGGGACACAACTGGGGTCAAGGGGGTCAAGGTATAGCACCCAGCGCTAGAGACCTTACAGGGTGTGGAACAGGCATGCATACTGGCAGGCCTGATGCAGGAGAATGGTCCCTGGTGGCAGGGCACACACCACCTGACCCCTTCACCTGTTAGATATGGCGGATTCGGATGACTCCGGAGTGGAATCGGAGACTTAGCATGGAAGGACCTTGGCCTCAGCAACTCATGTGGAGCGCTGTGCCATTGCTGGTTGTCCTGGGGGTCCCTAATTTCGGATCTAGCAGAGGGGAAGTCTCTTAGGGGGGAATCAAGTCGATTTTGGACTGAGGTTACAAGTTACTAGGTACATTGTACATAAGGAGGGGTCCGGAATCAAAAGGAACAAGGGTAGGATGAAAGGAGACAAAGGGAGCTGGAAGGAGGAACAGCACTGAGGGTCAAGGGTTTGACTCAATGGTGTTTCCCAATGGAGGAGTGAAAGGCCAAGGCCCAAGGAGGAAGGAAGGAGGTTGGGAGTGGGGAATGGCTAGCTGACTGAATAGAAAGGAAGCAGCAGCCCAAATAGGAGTGAGGGAGAATAGTGGAAATGAATAGGGCAATGCAATAGTTGCAAGGTCTGAAGTAAGTTCAGAAAGTCCGAACTTGGAAGTTAAACTCCAGAATATTGGCAAGGGTAATTAAATGGAATTGGCTAACCAATACAATGGGTATCAGTGGAGGTGGGGTCAAAGTCTGAGGTTGGAGCTAAGACTGGAGGTTCCGGAGACAGAGACGCTGTAGGTGGGATAATCGCCCATGTGCAGAGCCAGCTTGGATACCCGCTTCCACCATTTAGAAAACCCCTTCCATTCATGCAACAATGCCATACGAATTTTGTACCTAAAAATAGTGCTAATTCCTACGATTCTGGAGATAT